TTAGGATTTATGTCTGTATGATTGGTGGCATTATATGGATCTATAAGTGCGAATGTAGATGAAGAAGTGAGTGAGTAAAAAGGTAAGTCTTCTAGCGATAGACATGAAAGATTAGGTAAAGGAAGCAACATGAGAACATTAAAAGATATGTGTAGGCAGTGTTCTTATCGATTTTTGTGATGAAAATTTGAGGACGATTTTTTTAAAGGATGAGAGATTTGTAACATCCCAAAAGTTGGGTTAGTGACCAAAATGAAAGTTTTTGAAACTTAGTGATCAATTTTAGAAAAAAATTAAAAGTTTAGGGACTTAACTGGAGAATTTTGATATAGGATTGATTAGAAAATTTTGAAAGATGAGAGGGTGTAATGGTCATTTCAAAAGAAAGATTTTTATTTTCCTTTTCTAAATGATATAACCACGTGGAGATAAGAAGAAAAGAAAGAAAAGTCTGGAACTTCTTTTTTCTTCTTCCTCATCCCGTAAGCTTCATTTCAAGGTGAGTTGCTTTCAAGTTGTTTGCTCTTTGAATTCTTAAGTTGATTTTGATTCTTAGAGCATTAGGAAAGTTTAAAGAAGCTTAAGGAGAATTAGAAACTAAAAGATGGACAAGTTATGAGGGATTAAGTAAAATGAATTTTTGAGTGAATTATTGAAATAGAAGGAATAAATGGATTTTGAAGTTGAATTTGACTTGTCAAGGGTCTAATTAAGAAGGTAGAAGTAATAGAAGTGAATTTGGAACATGTTGATTTATTGGCTTGATCATTGAATTCAAGTGTATATATGGGATATTAGATATTAGGATGAATTAAAGTGATCTAAGTTGATTAAAATAAGTGTAGTTAAGCTTGAAGGGTTAAAAGGAGGTTCTAGTAGAAAATTTAAGTAAGTTTGGTAAATTTTTGGGTAAGATAAATAAATTCTGGGCAAGGGGTATCGATACTGTTCATTCAATATCGATACTTCAAAGAGAAAATAAGTGATAATTGAGGTATGGGTATCGATATTGGTTGAATGAGTATCGATACCATAAGGTAAAAATTTATAAATTGTTCAAAGAGTATCGATACTAAAGGAGTAGTATCGATACTAAGGAGTAGTATCGATATTGGTGGTATCGATACCATTAAGCAAGTATCGATACCATTTTGAAATAAGGATTTCAGAATCGAAAATGGGTATCGATACCGTGGAAGGATATCAATACTACAAACATAGAGGTATCGATATTGTGCTTGTAGTACAAATACTACTTGAGTTGGAATTTAGAAATTAGTGTTTTGAGTAGCTTGCACTAGTAAGAATCTTTGCAAGTAATTCGAATTTTCGATATTTATTGGATTGTGTCGCGTGTAGATAACGATCGAGAGCAAAGTTTGGACAAGTCGACCAAGTAATAGTCATTAAGAAAGAAATAAGAGATCGATATTGAATAGTGAGGTCAGGGGAGTGCATACTAGTTAATATATGAGGTTTAATGGAAATAAGACTTGCGATGAGTCTATTTCCTATATTATAATGCATGAATTCATGAATGTGTGCATGTGTTTGATATGATTAATATGTATGGCTAAGTATTCGAATATGAATGTATGTGTTATATGTTATTGCATAAGTTACATGATCCCTGTGAATACATGATGTCTGATAAACCATGTGAATTGATATAAATAATATATGTGATTATATGAGGAGATAAAATAAGCTATGTGATGTAAACATAAGAGAACAAAATATATGTTATATGTTACATGTTACATGTTACAAGCTATGTGATATGTTATCTATAAGATAATAAGATATGAAGAAGATACATGAGAATGTTACAAGATTATGTGAAAAGAAGATATGAGATTACAAGTACAAAGATATAATTATGTGATGATTTGTATGATTATATAAATATGTGAATATGAGATGAACATAAATGATAATGCCCATGTTATATGATATGAGAGTTATATGTATAATTGGCATGCCAAGAGTCGAGGGTTACATAGGTCATCCGATACATATACATAGGTCCTTCGGGACATATACATGAGGTCCTTCGGGACAAATTTCATATGCCACTAAGTGGGAATTATACGAGCTGTGGTGACAACCTATGTGCACAACCTCTATGTACTCACATATCTTTAGTTCTCAGAAGTATACATGGGCTAATAAAAGAGATAATATAAATAAACTCGGTATGATTGTTATATGTGGTTGAGTACTTGAATATGAGTATGTAGGTTACATATATTTCATATGTTATATTATCTATGTGAAAATATGTTTGTATGATATATTTGAATATAAGAGAATAAAGTGTAAGTTATATGATATGGTATAAGTGATTACATGAGAAATTTTATGAGCTCTATAAGTATATGCATAGGTAATGAGGTGGTTGAATACAAGAGAATGTGATATAAATTATGTGGTGTAGATATAAATGATTATAGAAACACGGAATAGTATACGATCATATATGATGATATGAAATGAGGCTAAACATATAAATGATGATATATGTGTATGTATGTATTTATTACATGAAAGGGTATAGGAGTTTGTATGTTATGATTTTGTAGAATATGATAGAATTAAATGTTCATGCATTGTTAGTAATTTCAGTTACATTATATGTTTTATATGCCTCACTAAGTCATAGACTTAGCATGTGAATGTTTCACATGTAGGCTTAGAGAAGATTAAGGAGCAAAGAGAAGCAAGACAGGTTAGTCTCTCCTTCTCGAAGATCATATCAAAAGAGAGATTTGAATTATATGTATTTTGTAATATTAAATGTAGTTGGCATGTACTAAAAGGTTTTAAATTGAATATGTTCTGATATGCTTTGTAAAACCAATTGTATTTTAATTAATGTAAAATATTTAGTTATTTTAATGAAAAATTGAAATTTCATCTATTTTGTACAAGTATATGATTGAAAGGTTAATGTGACATCTCGGACTCGTATCCGGGTCGGATACAGGTTGGGGTGTTACATAAATTACACCAACAATCTCTGAACTTTACTCTCTCACCTATTTCACTCACTGTACTTTAAATCGGTTCAATTTTATCACTGAACTTAATACATTTGATTTTTTTGGTCACTCCACCATTAAATTAGTTAATAGTGCTAAAAAAATGCCATTTTAGAAAAATAAAATTTTCACAAAAAAATCATCGTTTTGCATCCATATAACAACTAATTTATAACATCATTAGTGAGAAAACGACGTAGTGACAGAAAAATCATGTATTAAGTTTAGTGAGGAAATTGAACTGATTTAAAGGACAATGTGTGAAATAAGAGAAAGTAAAATTCAATAATGATTGGTATAATTTACCCTTAATTTCTAATTATTCTAAAATGCAGCACATGTTTAATTCTTTGTACTTTATTTTGAAGTTAAATAGAAATTTAACTATACTATATTTAGTGCCAAAATTATGTTGAGTGTAAGAATTATATATTTTTACTCAGTTAACTATTTAAAAATATGTAAAATTCTAAAATTTTATATTATATCATCAATATTTATAGGGGAGGCTGAAATGATTATTTCTATTTAATGTAGTAGTTAGTCAATCTAATTAAATAGTAGAAGTCAGCATAGTAGCTTTCCATAAATTAACTAATAATTAAACAACTATCATTTAATATACCACCAAAAACGTTAGGTGTATTTATTTGTAGATTACTATTCTTTTAATTTAATGATAAAATTTCAATGAATTCATTAAATGTTGTTATGATTAAAAGAAATATTATTTTTAAAAGTTTTGGATTTGAATAACGTGTCAGTGGAATATATGTTGTTAATAATAAATATTTTAATAAGATAATATTTTATAATCACTTTATACTATTTAAAAAAATGATCATACTTCAAGAAGTTCTTGATATATATATATATATATATATATATATATAGTTATTTAATTAATAAAAAATAATTGGTAACAAATTTAATCGTAAAAATAAATCAAAACAAAAAATTTATGGGTCGTTTGAGAATTCTTATGTAAGTGATTTTGGCCTAAAATCCCGTTTGAAATGCAGAACATTTTCAAACAACTCATATCAGTTAAAAATTCACATTGAAAAATGATAATTGATTCAAATAAAAAATTTTAAAAAAATTATATTTTTGTATTGAAAAAGTTTATCTGGAGAAGCATCGGTTCGAAATAGGGATATATTCTAGTGTTAATACGATTGAGTGTTTGACTGCTTCATACCTTGTCATAAATCAACAGGATATTTGGTTCACAAAAGGAAAAACAAAAGTAAAACCGAAACTGCTTATCAAGTCACGCGTAAGGCATAATTGTGGACATGATGCACACAATTTAACAAAATCTAACGTGTTTGGAAAAAAAAACCAAGGAAAAAAAATAAACCCAGATTTACGTCTGCATGGATTGAATTTTACGACCCACAAAATCAAACCAAACCTTAGCCTACGATTTTGCTTTCCCTCTTGTATCCTTATATATAGTTTAAGCTCTATATCCATCCTTTGGCATCAAGTATTCAAATAGTTTTCATATTTTCCAAACTCATAATTATTTCCCTTTGGTTTCTTTTGTTTTGCCCCTCAGGTTTCTGGTAAGTAAGCTGAGACTTGCAGTTACATATGTCAAAGGTATTTATATATTAATCTGTGAGTCAAATCGTATTATTTTTTAAAGTCCCTTTCATTTATATTACTTTGTTTTTTCATAGCAAAATCAGGAAATAAGAAAGGAATTGACGCAACTCGTTAGTTCCTTGTTGAATTCCATCCCTTTTCCTTATTGTTTACAAAGGACAACACCTACCGTATACTATCATAACTCTGTCATAATTTATTCAATAACGAATCACGTAAAGATACATGAACCCTCATAGAAAATGCACCGAAACTCTTCTTCCTCTTTGATCTCCATCTATATATATAGTCTGCAACATTGTACATTCAGTTCTTACAATTTCCCAACTCAAGTAATTTCCAACAGCCATTCTTTGCAGAAAATGAATACACCAGCAGCTCAATTTCCATACCCATGGCAGCGTTGCAAAATTGTTCACTTGGTATGTATGTACGTATGTATGTATGTATATATACGCACACCAACAGCATTTATTTGTTCACAATTTATTTAGTAAAAGCTATTCTTATTGAAGCTTTATTATTTTTCAGGTGAGGCACGGACAAGCCATGCATAATGTGGAAGGAGACAAGAACCGTGAAGCACTGTTGTCCCCTCACCTATTTGATGCCCAACTTTCCCCACTGGGATTGCAGCAGGTGATTCCATAGCATTCAATGAATCTTATTTCAATTGTTTGATATAATATTATATTTAAATCTTTCAAGACCTTTTATTTCAGGTTGACAAACTGCGTAAGGACGTTCATGCTAGTGGCCTACTTAAGAGGATTGATTTAGTCATCACTTCCCCTTTATACAGGTATAAAACTCAAACAGATATTTATTTCCTCAAATATGTTTTAAAGTTTGCCATGATTGTTGATGGATGATCACTGCAGGACCATGCAAACTGCTTTTGGAGTTTTCGGTAACCCTGAAAGATCAGCTGACGATTGCCCACAAATTATGGCAGTTGAGCTTTGTCGAGACCGCCTGGTTAGATATATATATATATAGCTGAAATGTCTCATGGTTGGAGTATTATAATACTGATGCATTGTTCTTTACCTCAGGGTGTTCGTCCTTGTGATATGAGAAGACGAGTCAGCGAATGTCAAGCTCTTTTCCCTTCATTTGATTTTTCAATGGCGAGTTCTTTAGCCACCCTATCTTCTAGATGGATTTAAGCTGCTGATGCACGTAGTATTTTTTCATTAAATTATCATTATTGAGATGGTTTTGCTTGTTCAGATGGATGGTGAAGATGACAGAATATGGAATCCAGACGTTCGGGAGCCTGAAGAGGAAATAGCTGCCCGAATGGTTTTATTTATGAAATGGTAAATCTCAATATTTTAGAATTCAGAAATTAATCCTTAAACTACAAATTCATCAGTTCTGTTTCGATTTTATCACAAATTTCAGGCTATGGACAAGGCCGGAGCAGGAGATTGTTATAGTCAGCCATGGCATAATCCTTCAGCACATTCTATACATACTTGGAAATGACTGCCATCAAACAGTTAGATCAGCTTTATGCAAACGGTGAGCCTTAAACATTCTCTCTATCTTCTTCTTCTTCATCAGACAGAGACTTTACATCCTTTTTTTTTTTCAGGTTTGACAATTGTGAGCTACGATCCGTGGTCATCGTGGATAAAAGGTGAGCATTTTGTTAGCAAGAGGCATAACCTCTTATTATGCTTAAATTAGAAACATCAACTTAGTGTTTTGAACATGTTGCAGCTTGGGGGCAGCTGACTCACAGGTTTGCTCACCTACTCCAAGTGGTGTTGCGAAAGCGAAGGTGTTAAGGGAGCAAGTTTCCAATTAATTGCACTCACTTTGAAACAATAGATTTAGCGTTGAACTTGAACGCTCGAGACTTCTTTAATATGTTGTATCAAAAGTCGATTTCCTTTTCATTTGTTAATTTTAAAGCTAGTTTGACCAATAGAAGATGTCTGTTTCAATTGTAAAATATTTTTTTTGTAAATTTTATTTATTATCCAAGAAGCAACAATGTTACAATCAAATATGGCAAGATAATCATCAATATACAGGTTATATTTATATATTTGTATCACCTAGTCAAATATACACAGATACTGATGAAATTGAACATTTATACTATCGTTCCTATTAATATTTGTACCTGATAAATTGTTCCTTAAGACTCACTCTTTCATGTAAATTGTTCCTCATTAGTGTAATGAAACTCATCAAATCAAATGGTAAAAGGGACTGTTAATTTTCCTTAAGGTTTTGGGTTCGAACAATTACATATGCATAGTGTGATGTGTTGTCAATAAGTTAAGACAATTCCAAATGGATACTACCTTTATCACCTCATACTGTCTCGAAAAAAAATATTCGTGTTGTCATAACCATTTTTTAAACAATTAAAAAAATCATGACTTTATTAAGAAATTGGGGATTTTTAATTAATTTTAATATTTTGAATAGGAGTCATCATCGATCGTTGGGTTAGGCTGGTCGAATACCTAAAATCGCCATTTAAAACAATTTTAAGAAAAATATTTCTTAAGACAAAAATTGGCATGCGTTATCAAGTTTTATTTTTTTAGGATCCGGGAGTCGATTACACGTGAGAAAGGATTAGCAGCCCCACCGCGCCCAAATATGATACCTAATTGCTTATACATTATCGTAAATGGTGGACATGGTAAATTCAAATCGATATTTAAAGTGTGATCCTTTTATTGAACATTGAATAAATTATTTATAAGGGAACATTCCTTAATTTGAGAAGAAATCATGGGATTTGCACATCCTCGGACGGGAAGGCTATCCCATTTATTTCTCCTTCATACAAAAAACGTCCCCCTCCCCAACGTTATCAAAAGCATAAATCGAATATATTGACTATCGATATTAGTATTAAACAAATTGCTATTTAAAGAGACATGTATTACATCATTTAAATTAAAATGAACATGAATTAATTACCGTCTTTGTAAAAATAAGCTTGATTTATTTCAAGTTCACTTTTCGTTCGAATGTCGTGTCAAAACGCACTACTTCGATCAAATTGTGCTTTTCGCGCCCATTCTACGATAGAGATTTCTTGAAAACATACGAGTATAATGAAATCTTACCAAGTATTAATATCGAATATAAGAGTAGTTGCAACTTTAACAAATGATGATTAAAACATGGGTTATATTAATAAATATAAAAGGACTACTATATTTAAAAATAAAGAAACAAATTATCATATTAGAATGAAACATAGTGAAAAGTCAAAAATAAAAATAATTAAAAGCAGGAAACCATGATGACCAAGATGCGTAGATTGAAACTACAACATAAAATAACGAAGTAGAACCCTTTAGCGACTAAAATAGAATAAATAGAAAATAAACTGCAATAATTAAAGGACTGAAATTAAAGTACCAAAAATAAAGAGCAAAAGTAAAAAGACATAAAATTAAAGCAATGAAATTAAAGGACTGAAATTAAAGGAATAAAGTAAAAGACATAAATTTAAAGATGCAGAAAATTAAATAACAAAAATAAAAAGTGCAATAAAAATAAAAGTTAGTATTAATTTTAGTTTTTAACCCGTATCGTAAATAATGTGAGTCGTACCCTGGGGCGTGTCGTCGCAAGGTCATATAATATTTCTAACATAAAATAAATAAATAAATAAAAATTAGCGGTTAGTGTTAGCGGTTAGTAGTTAGCTGTTAGAAAAGTTAGCAGTTAGCAGAGTCTGGACCATAATAATGTGGATTGTACCCCGAATTGGGTAACCACAAGGTCGAATAATAATTCAAACAAGTTAATAAAAATTAAAAAATAGTTAGGAGTTAGTAAAGTTCGGACAATAATAATGTGGATCGTACCCCGGATCGGGTCACCGCAAGGTCGAATCGAATATCAACGATAAATAAAAGTCAGCGGTTAATATGCAATAAAATAAAAGTTAGTAGTTAACTTGAAATAAATAATAGCAGAATAGTGACCAAATTAAAAGTTACTGAAATCAGCAATTATTCGAAATAAATAAAAATAAGTGATCAGAGTGCAAAAAGAGCTAAAATACAGAGGACTTAAGGTGATTATCCCCTGATAGTGACCAAAACGTGAAACACGCTGAAAATGAGAGGATTCGAGGGTAATTTGACCATAATAATTATGACTAAAAGGTAAGAACAATTTAAAGGTCTAAGGACTTTAGCACAATTTATCCGAAAAAAGACATTTGTTTTATTTTTCTGCCTCATGAATAAACCCTCTTCAAGGCCCTAAATCAAACACCAACCACCGCAAGCCGACCCTTGCACGTCAGCCACCGGGCCAGTGATCATCCTACTCCAATCGACGACCCCGACCATGACCGAAGGAGGACCTACTGAATAACTTCAACCCTATTTTTTTACTGCCTGGCCGAGAAGCTCCCAAAGCTTCAACGCTTATAACCGGCCACCGCGTCTAGGTAGCGCTTCTCACGTCGGCCACCAGGTTAGAGATCATCACACTCTAACCGGTAACCTCACTCCTCAACCAACACCGCCAGTGGTTGGGTTCTAAACCCGCTACTGAAACAAACCTAAACACTCCCCCTAAACCTTACCTAAAGCCCCAGAGGCTATTCCCTGACCGTTCGGCTTCCTAGACTGACAACCTAACGTCGACGAGGAACCTGACCAACCACATACACACCGAGCTATGCCTGGACAAAAAAAAAGAAAAAGAAAAATGAGGGAGCAAAAGACCACATTCCTTTTATTTGCTTTCTTTTTGGTTTACAAAAACGCGGGGGGGGGGGCTTATTTGCTTTTTTGTTTGGATTTTATACCCTCAAAGTTACAAATGGTAAAATTATGAGTTTGGTCCTTAGTCTTCACTCCAATTTTATTTTTTGGACAAAATTAGGTTATTATAGCTGTTGATCGCTTGTAAATGCATATGCTAAGGCAAGCAAATCTGTGCAAGTGTACACAATCGATGCAAGTAATATAGTAGTGAGTGAGTATCGTCTCCACAGGGATTGGAATACTTTTAAAAGATTGCTACAACTAGGAATAAGTGTCACTTACTAATCCTAAGTATCTAAGTCAAATTATATAAACAAGGAAAGTATGCAAAAAAATTGTAAAGTGAAGTGAGCAGAAAAGTGTTGTAGAGGCAAGAAAAATATGCAAAGATAAATAAAAGTTGTTAAGGTTAAAGTTATCGAAACTCTATAAATAAACTGGAAACCTCACACAATCAGACTTCTAACGGGGCACTTAGGTTGGTTTTGCTATGGCGAGAAGTTATTTATGCTAATAATGATTTGGTATGCTATGCTTAGGCTGCCCGACAGGATTACTGAGTATTCTTAGACGGTTGCTATGGCAATACTACTCGACGTAAGCTACAACCCTTAGTTTGTCAAACTGTTGTTGTGGCAATACCTCTCAGCGTGAACTATAATCGTTGTCTATCCTACTCAAGAGTCTATCCCTTTTAGTCGATTAAAACCCTCTCCTTATCTCTAAGGTAGACAAGTTAGAACATCACCATCCCCAATCTATTCCATTGTTCACATAGATCTTTCTTAATTCTCTCGAATCTAAGAATCGATATCTAGACAAACTTAAATCTCCCGAAGCTCTTACATGGCATAGAATTATTTTGCCTAGGCACCAGGCAATCTCTCAAAGCTCTTACAGTGTCAAGGCAAAAGGTTAAAATAGTGAACAAAACATACTTAATCATTCATTAACGGTTAAATAAAATATCATCCAAGCATTCCCAACACCAAATAAAACATTTTATGGTGTGGTTAACATCATCCCAAAAATATTCATTAAGTACAAGCCCTTAAAAAAATAAAACATGAAGAACAAGAGGAAGAAAAACTCCTAGAATAGAGCTCTGTCGTGACATCAGACCACCACCATGACTGCTCCAACGCACCAGCCTCTCTCGAGGGTCTGGTCGCCGCCCCGGAGAAGCCTGGCTATGGAGGGCACCAAGGATGGACGAGTGGGGGCGGTGGAAAAAAAGACGGCGCGACCGCCTTTTTCCAAACCTGGGGAATTTTCTCTGTGTGATTCTCCCCTATCTCTTTGGCGGCTGTGACTGGGTATTTATAAAGGGAATTTTCCTAGGGTTTCACATCATTAAATGCCCCCTAAATAACCATTTTTCTTGTCTAGCTATAAATGGAAAGGCGGCTGGCTGTTGTCAGACTTTTGGGGGATTTCTTGCACGTGAGGTCAATCATGAAACTGGCAGGTGATGTCAGCATTTCGTTAGATTCGTGTCAGACTTGCAAGATTTTTCTTACCTTGGCAAGGAAAATATGTTTTTCACTGTCTTCGTCTTCTGTGTTCCATTGTCCCTATCAAATTAATTGTGTCGGCAAATGAATTTTTCCTCAGTCATTTCTTGTATCATCACAATCAATAACAACCTTTATCATCATCAGCAGCATCAGTTTAATCAAATAAACTTTGCCTCGGCAAAACTTATACACCACATGAAAATATGTTCTAAATGCAACTATATGAAGCTAAAATGCTATGTCAATGGCTTTTAGACAATCAATAACTTAAGTAAAAAGACCTAAAATATAGTATTTTTATGGAGTTATTAGCTGTCCTTCTTTGCTGATCTGTTGTGTAAATAATGACGAAGCAAATACAAATAATGGCTTAATTTTGTCTGAACGCATTAAAACTCCATCATCGGGCTCCAATATCCCTCACTTTTGCCTCAACCTTTCAAGTGAATGATTTATTTCTATGCCCATTGTTGCATGACGAGAATAGGGCAAAGATCATAGACACCAATTTTGTCCAGCTATGATGTTTGCTCCGCATATGGAGCTCCAGTTCCTTGTATGAAAATAGAGGACTTAAAGATAACACTGTTCCTT